CTGTCACGGGCCCGCAGAGGCCGGTGAGCGGCCTGCGCGGGGCGGCGTCTTCCTCTCCACTCCCCTCCCCCGAGCGGAGGGATCCTGGAGATCCCCTCTGGGACTCGGAGCCACCGAGTCTGTGCGGTTTCGGAAGTGCCCGAACCTGACCCGGCGCTGCCACCAGCTCGCTGTGTGACCTTGGGCAAGTCCCTTCCCCCCCTGCGCCTCAGTTCCCGATTTTTGAAGCGGAGATGTTGCAGTCTCATATGTACATGAGTTGGATCCCAGATCCTGTCTGAGATCTTGGGCAAGTTCTTCCCCAGGCGGAGCCTCAGTTTCCATCTATGGGCCATGTAGGAATTGAGGTGCTTTTTGAAGCGCCTGGCCGGCTAAGTTGCCGAATGGCGGTTGGACTGTGTGTGTGTGTGTGCGCGCGTGTGTATGTATGTGTGTATGTATGTGTGTGTGTGCGCGTGTGTATGTGTGTGTGTGTGTGTGTGTGTGTACACGTATGTGTGCAGGGCGGTGCTGCAGAGTAAGGATAGTGGCTAAAGGGGCTTTTCCACGAAGACTTTGGACGGACCCCAGAGTGTGATGGAGTGATGTCTCGGTCCTCCAGGATCCTGGAGCCTCTGAGATGGGAAGTAATACAGAGTTCTCCATAAAATCAGAAGAGGAAGGAATCCTGGGCGCCTCTTGGGGCTGTGATTGAAATTTATGCCCCAAAGAATTCAGGAAGAGGAGGAGGAGGAGGAGGCGAGAACATGCATGGCGCTCCCTACTGTGTGTCAGACCTTTAGGCATCTATTCTCCTTTCAGTTTTTTACAGCTACCCTTGAGAATTTGCACATAAAGAAAACTAAGTGAAGGAGTTAAGTAACTTGCTCAAGATCGCCCAGTAAGGTGCAGAGATTACCAAGGATAAGGTGTTTCCTTTGAGGCGCACTGGGCAGTGGGGAGGTCTCTGTCCACGTCCAAGAAGCTTGCTTTGCCACAAATGGGGTGAGGGGTCTGGTCCCAGACACTTCTGGCATGAAGATGAGCTGGGTCTTGATGTCCCCTTTGTTCAGTCTGTGAGTAGTTGGGAAAGACCATTTTTCTAAGTTGTCAGCGTCACTTTGAAGTGTGTTAGAACTCGGGAGAGCTCAGTTTGCATCCTGGCTGGCTGGCTTGTAGAAGCAAGTTCACCCACTATCTATGGTGGGTCGGCTTCACACTGGTTTCAGAGTGCTGCCAGCCTGGTAATTTTCCCTCCTCCCTATGAAGGCCAAGTTTTCTTGGGACGGAAGAAATTTCCCATTTGTTAGTTCAAATGTCTTTGGATTCTTGAGTAAAAAGTTCAGTAGACTTCCTCCGATTAAGCATGTTTCTTTGTGGTCCCTGTTATCAGAGTCCTAGCTGATTAAAGATTGTGGGCCTAGATTGGGAGGTGGCTGGGTACTATAAATTGCAGCCCTTACTTTTTCCAAACCTCAGAGCTTTCAGTTCATCAAAATGGTAGGATTGTCAATGTGTATTGTTCTCGGATGTCCATGGTAGGGAAGAAAATTGGAAGAGGAAGTTGCAGAGAAAGAGGGCGTTTCTTAGCAGTGGAGCCAATATGTATTTCTTTGTTTGAAATTCTAAAACCAGAAGGCAGCAACTGCAGGAGGAAGGAAGGAAAGGACTGTGAAACTCCCCCCGCCCCCCCTCAAATATATGCAAGAGCTGTCCCTGTCCGACTCTGCTTTTACAGAAAAAAATCAATTGTCATTTGTTCAACGTTTAGAAATTATAATCTGGAATAAGATCATTTTAGATCTTAAACTCTGAGATAAAATTTTTTAAAAATCAGAACATTTTACTGGGTACGGTATGTTACTTATCAGTAGATGATTCTTTTTCTCAACATAATTAACCAATTGCAGTCCTTGGTTCTGTTTTAACTATGATTTAAATTAGTGCATTTTAACCTTAGAGGAGTTGATCTAGGTATTGGATGATGCAAATGTCACCATCACTTAAAAAACACATAATGGTATTTTAGGGTTTTGACATTAGTTAAAAATCTTTTTAGTGCTTTGTTTTAAAGGATTGTGTACGGTGAATTACTTATAAGACACTGAATTTATTGCATGTGAACATCTACCTTTATTCTCAGTATTGGTTATATTTTCCGTATAATATTTAATTTTAATTAGTATACCAGTCCAAAGTACCTTGTGGCTAAAAAAAAAAAAGTTCTTGGGGCTGCAGGTGTTTCTGAATTTAGAAGTTTTTGGATTTTAGAAATGGAATATAGTACACGTACTGTGGTTATGTAACATTCAGAGAGGTATGGGGCAGCACCTTGTAATCACACACATTACTATTTCTGTAGTAAAATGTCAGACTATTCGAACCAAGTGGGATAAATAAATACTATAAATAGCTTCATGTCATTTCACATCAGGTTTTGCTGCCAAATGAATAATGAAAAACTTGTTTTTTGTAGCCTTTTGGATTTTGGAATTGAAGTTAAGGGATAGTGAACCTCTATGGATAAAACATATGATGACAAGAACAATTACAAGAAAAAACATTGTAAACCAAGCTAATTTCAAAGTCATGGGTTCTAAGAGCAGTGTTACATAGAAGATATATTTTTGTTTGTTTCATATAATAATCTTATTCTAATATGTGCCAATGTGCATTTTTCCTTAAGTACTAAAAATTGCCTCTTTTTTAAAATATATTTTATTAATTTTTTACAGAGAGGAAGGAAGAGGGATAGAGAGCTAGAAACATCGATGAGAGAGAAACATTGATCAGCTGCCTCCTGCACACTCCCTACTGGTGATGTGCCCGCAACCAAGGTACATGCCCTTGACCAGAATCGAACCTGGGACCCTTGAGTCCGCAGGCTGATGCTCTATCCACTGAGCCAAACCGGTCAGGGCAACCTCTTTTTTTTTGAGTATCTGTTTCTGATGATCCCTAATCATTTCTTTAAAATGTATTTATTTATTTATTTTTGTTAATCCTTACCCTGGGATATTTTTCTCATTGCTTTTCAGAGAGGTTATAAAGAAGGGAAAGAGGGGAAGAGACAGAGGAGAGAGAGAAAAAAACATCGATGTGAGAGGGACACTTTGATTGGTTGCCTCCCAAACAGACTCCAACCCAGGCCAGGGATGAAACCTGCAACCCAGGTACATACCCTTAACAGGGAATTGAACCCGAGACCCTTCAGTGCGTGGGCCAATGCTCTAACCACTGAGCGATGCCAGCCAGGGCCAAAATTTACCTTTTAATACACTCAGTGGTCAGTGTTTTAGATGTTTGACTGATACCCTATTACCTCCACCCCCTTTTTATTTATTTAATATATTTTTATTGGCTTCAGAGAGGCAGGGAGAGGGGGAGAGAGAGAGAGAGACATCAATAATGAGAGAGAATCATTGATTGGCTGCCTCCTGCATGCCCTCTACTGGGGACTGAGCCCACAACCCAGGTATGTGCCCTTGACCGGAATCGAACCTGGGACCCTTCAGTCCACAGGCCTATGCTCTATCCACTGAGCCAAACCAGCCAGGGCCCCACTTCCTTTTTAATGTTTTTATTGATTTAGGGAGAGAGAAAAACATCAATGTGAGAGAGAAATGTTGATCGGTTGCCTCTCCTGCAGGTGCCTTTTATGGGGATCAAACCCCAAAACCTGGACATGTGCCTTGATTGAGAATAGAACTATCGACCTTTCAGTGCCTAGGACTACGCTCAACCAACGGAGCCCCATTGAGCAGGGCTACCCCTCTTTTTAAAAAAGTAATTAATAGTGTCTTACGCTCCTCTTTGTATAGCAATTAAGAGAATTGCACCTTTTCATATAATTCAGAGAAATAGTTAGGTGAGGATATGTAGATTCACGTTTGCAGAATTTAAAGCTGATGGTATTTAGTATAAGTTATCACTGCTGGATGGTATTTATGTCAAAAATTTTTATTTTTGCCCTAGCTGGTTGGCTCAGTTGGTTGGAGCATTGTCCTGTACACCAGAAAGGTTGCAGGTCCGATTCCAGGTCTGGGCACATACCTAGGTTGTGGGTTCAATCCCTGGTTGGAATGCATATGGGAGGCAACCCATCGATGTTTCTCTCACATCAATATTTCTCTCTCCCTTTCTCTCTCTCTCAAAAAAAAATTAATAAAACACAACGTTGTGTGAGGATTAAAAAAAAAGAAAAAATTATTTTTAATTTATGAAGCCTCCACAATTTGCACATCTTGGAAAAGAGTTTTCTAAAAATACGTTTAATTTTGAGTATTTTTATTTTAAGTATATGCTATATGAGAAATGTGAGTTGACTAGTCTTATGAATTTGGGTGATTT